AAATGCCTCACCTGCACGTTCCCATATGTTGCACAACGAAGCACACACACACTCCCACATCCCCAGTAATGCATGTGTAACCCACTCTTGCCGTTGAAACCCCGTGCGCGTGGTAGTACGTCGGACCGCGCTCACAAACAAAATGGTCACTGCACACAGGTGGCGCTCCTCCAGTGTCTCTCTGAAGTAACTCCCGTTTGTGTTTTCCTGGTCTACGTTGTGTTCCACGGCCGCCTCGCTCAATTCGTTGCCAACTCTAGCGCTGGCGCCCAACAGTATGACGGGTACAGTACGCGCAGACAGCGCGTTGAATTACCCTGTGACGTACCCAACCCATTTGTATGATGGGAAACGAAGGGTTGGCCGAAACTTGCATGGAAAATCAAATTGCCGGATCCGTTGTTTGATATGCAAGCTGCTTGGGACACGCGCCTATGGCATGATGCGCAGAATAACCATGCAAGAACGAGGGGCGGCAACTACAGGCTCGAAGAGGACATGGGGAGCCGGGGGCGAAGAGCAGGAGAAAAAACGTGCGGGAAGCCCACTGTGCTGCGCCCCATCACCAGCCCTCGGAAGTGGCGACAGTTTCACTGATCGCAGCCCCCCAGGGACGGCGAGGTCTAATTTGAGCCTGCGGTGAGTACCCACTCTGTTGTGCCCCTCAGCAGCCCTCGAAAGTGGCAACAGTTTACAGGTCGCAGCCCTCCAGGGGTGGCAAGGTCTAATCTGAGTCTGCGGTGAGTACCCACTGTGCTGTGCCCCTCAGCAGCCCTCGAAAGTGGCGACAGTTTCACAGATCGCAGCCCCCCAAGGATGGCGAGGTCTAGTCTGAGTCTGCGGTGAGTGCCCACTGTGCTGTGCCCCTCAGCAGCCCTCGAAAGTGGCGACAGTTTCACAGATCGCAGCCTCCCCCCCCCCGCCCAGGGATGGCAAGGTCTAATCTGAATCCGCGGTGAGTACCCAGTGTGCTGTGCCCCTGAGCAGCCCTCGAAAGTGGCGACAGTTTCACAGATCGCAGCCCCCCAGGGATGGCGAGGTCACATTTGAATCTGCGGTGAGTACCCACTGCGCTGGGCCCCTCAGCAGCCCTCGAAAGTGGCGACAGTTTCGCAGATCGCAGCCACCCAGGGACGGCGAGGTCCCATTTGAGCCTGCGGTGGGCACCCTATGTGTTGCGCCCCTCAGCAGCCCTCGAAAGTGGCGACCCCCCAGGGACGGCGAGGTCCCGCTCATGTCCGCGCGGTGCCTCACTCTGCAGGACCCACCAGCATCCCTCGAAAGTGGCGACAGTTTCGCCGATCGCAGCCCCCCAGGGACGGCGAGGTCCCGCTCAGGTCCGCGCGGTGCTTCGCTCTGCAGGACCCACTGGCAGCCCTCGAAACTTGCGACAGTTTCGCAGATCGCAGCCCCCCAGGGGCGGCGAGGTCCCGCTCAGGTCCGCGCGGCGCCTCACTCCGCAGGACCCGCCAGCAGCTCCCGAAAGTGGCGACAGTTTCGCAGATCGCAGCCCCCCAGGGACGGCGAGGTCTCGTTTGGGTCCGCGGTGGGTACCCTCTCTGCTGGCCTCTCCAGCAGCCCTCGAACGTGGCGACAGTTTCGCAGATCGCAGCCCCCCAAGGATGGCGAGGTCCCGTTTGGGTCCGCGGTGAGTGCCCTCTCCGCTGGCCTCCCCAGCAGTCCTCGAAAGTGGCGACAGTTTCGCAGATCGCAGACCCCCAGGGACGGCGAGGTCCCGTTTGGATCCGCGGTGAGTGCCCTCTCTGCTGGCCTCCCCAGCAGCCCTCGAAAGTGGCGACAGTTTCACAGATCGCACCCCCCAGGAATGGCGAGGTCACATTTGAATCTGCGGTGAGTACCCACTGTGCTGGGCCCCTCAGCAGCCCTCGAAAGTGGCGACAGTTTCACAGATCGCAGCCCCCCAGGGATGGCGAGGTCCCATTTGAATCTGCGGTGAGTACCCACTGTGCTGGGCCCCTCGAAAGTGGCGACAGGTTCACAGATCGCAGCCCCCCAGGGATGGCGAGGTCAAAGGCAGGGGGGAAGAGAGGGAAGGAAGGAAGGAAGGTTCGCGCGAGCAGTACTCTATTCAAAACGAGAACCCAACACAGGAGGGTTGGGAAGACCACTGTTTCAGCGTGTCCCGCGATTTCTTGGCAGCGCGGCTTCTACCCCCAGGTGGTTCCACAGGGGCATACGCCACGATGATGGTCACGTCCGAACGCTCTGATGATTTGAAGCGAACAGCTCCGATGCGACCTGCCAGCTGACCTGAGTACGTCCATGCCCGTCTAACTTGCTTGGGCGAAAGAACTGTTTGTCTCACAAGAAGCGCCACTCCGGTAGGCCTATCAGCACTCTTTCCACAACGAACCCATTGGAAGCGGAGAAACCGACCAACGCGATCCTGAACACAAGGAGTATCTGTAGAAACCTGAGTACCCGCAGTGCCCACTATACCGCAATGTTGGAACTGTCGCTCAGCGTCTGCCCATCGTCCTGCTTGTCTCATAGGGAAACGGTTCCAAGCGCAGTAGCGTACATGCATGGCCGCCCGAGGTTAACACCTTGGAGGGTGCCGTGGCAAGTCAGAGACATGCCTGGGTGCCCTTCTTGCCCCGCGAAAACAAGGGTTTGCGCCGCGGGGGCTGACGAGGTGGAGGACGAGGAGGAGGAAGGGCGCTGCAAGCACTGCATTGCACTTAAAAGTCCGCCCAACGCAAAAAAGAGGAGGGGGAGGGGGAGGAGAAGTACGGGAAAGAGGAGGACGAGGACGGGAAGGATGGGGGGAGGAACAGCAGCAGGGAGATGGCGAGCAGGGTGGGCGGCGAGCGGAAGACTGGGGGCGAAGGATCTGAGCTCTCCGAAGCCCCTGGCAGAAGTTCTGAGACAACGCATGTGAAGGAGCCCAGGGACACAAATTCACCCTGCACTTCCCGAAGGTTATTTTTTCCTGGGGATGGATGATTGTTTGCGACTGTGTTTGTTTTTTGCCCCTCCTGAACATGTGAGCCTCCCATGCCATCTTGCTGGCTCTCACGGATCGATCGACACTCATCGACGATGACTCGACTTTAATCGATGATGCATGGGCGCTTGCTCGTCGATGACCCACAGCGAACGCACGCGAGTGCACTCAAAAGATGGAACCTGGAGGACACACACACACACACACGCGATCCTCCGACCACGTCTACTCCGACCCCGTCTGGGAAGCCTAGACCGCAGAAGCCCAGCAGCTGCGCCGTCTCTCCCTGCGTGCGGGCTCCCCTGGCGAAAGACCCAAGGACGGGGGAGCCGACGGGGGGCTGCCGCCCCTGCCCCCCCCTGCTCCCCTCGGAGTAACACCTCGGGGAAAGACCGAAGGATCCTGCAAGATCCGGCGCTCTGGCTGACGCCCGTCTGCACTGACCCCCGTCTCGAGGCTCCCGAGTCCAGCAGCTGCGCAGTCGCTCCCGGCGCGGGGGGGCTCCCTCTGGAGAACGGCCGGGGAAGAGGGGGGGGGGAGGAGAGGGGGAGCGGGGGCGGCAGCCACGGTGATGGGCAGTAGCGGGGCGAGGGGGTGGCGAAGCTCCCCGAAACCGTGCTCGCCTGTGCCTACAATACAAGCGGAAAATCGCTCGAACAGCCACTGGGGGAACGCTGCTGTGGCTCTGCTCGGATTTGAGTTGAGGCTTGAAACATGTGCACTCCCGTGCAGCAGAAATGAGCAGGCCATTCGCTAGAGTAAATGTGCGTTGGCTCCACCGCATTCGCGACCGCGCTCGAGGAGGATGTAAACATGAGACAAACTGCGGAAACAGCAGCGTTCCGAGGACGAGCTCGATGAGGATGGGAATCAAGGCATGAAGACTGCATAAACACAAACTTGCGGAACTCCGCAAGGCGAGGCGAGGCGAGCGCGCGATGTCGGTCTGGCGGGACCGGCCCTGAGAGGGAAGCGCGGGGGGAGCCAGAGTCCTCAGGAGACGTGTTGGCGGCAAGAGTTGGAGCCAGAGTCGGCGGAAGCCGTAGCCGGAGATATGCGAGTCAGAATTGCTGAAAAGGAAGCCGGAGTCGGGGAGAACGGAGCCAGAGTCCGAGGGAAGGACGCTGGAGTCGGAAAGACGACTGGAGTCGAAGATATGTGAGCCGGAGTCGGAGAGATGGAAGCCATCGTGACTGGCCCCCCCTCCCCCCCCTGGTCACGTCACGATTCGCGCTAGCGCCGTCTGGAATGACCGCTCCTACGAATTCCCAGACGGTGCCGGCACGAATCGTGACGTGACTTGACTCCTCTCCCCCAGTCACGCCCGTGAAAAACAGTACAGTTTTCTCGGAGGCGCGCCCGGGGGGCACGAGAGAGAAGGCGGGCCTTCTCAGAGGGCGGCGGGGCTTCTCAGAAGCACTCGCGCCTTCTGAGAAGTTTCCTGCGTCTGCGGGGAGGCCCGAAACCTTCTGAGCCTTCTGAGAAGGCCAGCCCCTCTGCCTTCCCCCCTGGGTCGCCACCGAGGATGCGGCCATTTGGTTGAGCCAAAGGGAGTCCAGGGTCGTGCAGTGAGATCGTTTGCAAACGTATTGCGCCAGAGAATTGTTTTGCATTGTATTGCATCCAGTGGATTGCACGCGAAAGCTGCGCGCCTCAAATCTCTTGAAGGCCCACAAATCTATTCCACCAAGTCTATTGCACCACCCCCTTGTCGCTGGACACCCTTTGAGTCAACCACAGACCAATCCGCTCAAAGTCTGTCCTGGACCCCGTCCGGGTGTCCATTTGGTGCAATCTTCACCCCAGATCCGTTTTTGACGGCCCCCGGGCCCAAAAACGGCCCCTGGAGACCGAAAAAGGCAACACAACAAAAAACAAACCAAAGCTTCTCAAACAAAAAACCTCGAAGCTCGCCAACCCCTTCCTACCCCCTCCTTCCTGCCTTCTCCCCTGGGTTCGCCGCCGATGTTCCGTTCCGCCTCCGAGGAGCAGCAGCAGGGCGCGGGGGCAGGGCGCGGGGCGTGGCGGGGGCCCCGAGTTCGTGGTGTCGAACTTGCGGAGCTCGCGCGTACGCGCCTGGGCGCGAGTGGGACGCAGAAGGACGCACCAATGCCGAGGGCAAACATCTTCGCGCTTCGCGCTCCGCGAAATACGAAGCGCGATTGTCTTCGCGCTTATGCGCCGCGCCCCCCACCCATGGAACAGGATGAGGGACTCGCGCCTCGCTCTGAAATTGTCTGGAGACCGCGAAGCGCGATTGACTTCGCACCCACGCGCTGGCCCTAGTAATACTATGCACCCCCCTTGGAGGTGCACGTCCGAACCAGACCGATGGTACGAGCACCCCATGGCGTATCGTTACCCAGGCGGTATGGCCAGAAAGCGCCCGCAAACGAGCACCCACAATAAGAGTTCTGAGCGCGCGAGTCGCCCCTGGGGGGGGGCCGACGCACACATAGTGTCAGGGTGCTTGGGAGATGCCGGGAGAGGGAGCTCTCCGGCATGCCTTCCTAGAAAACATCATGATCGGCCTCGTCCGTGCTGCCATCCTTGCTCCTCAAGGTGGCTCGCAAGCCGTGCCCCACGACAGTTCGGCTCAGAAAGAGCAGGACAGGAATGGAACGGGTCTGGACAGAGCAGAAACGGAGCGTAATGAACGGAGCGGGATGGACTCCATGATGATGATGAACATGGAGGCGAGGATGGAAGTGGTGATCCAGATGGCGATGGAGATCAACAGTAAGAATGCGATGATGATGCTGATGATGGTAAACGTGATGTTGAGTATGATAAAGTGTGCTGCTGATGGTGGTGGTGATGTACATGATGCTGATGATAAAGAGTGTGATGATGATGATGGTGGTGATGGTGGTGGTGCTGCTGATGATGAAAGAGATGACGATCATGCTTATGATGATGATGGTGGTGATGGTGGCAACGAGGATGATGATGATGCTGATGATGATGCTATTGCTTTACATCTTTTGTTTCCAACGCGTGAGTCGACGGCAGCTGCCATCGCCCGCCGGGCGGCCCAAGACGGCCTCTCAGCGGTCGCGATCTGCCAGCACAGCGGAAGCGCGCAGCGCAGCTGTGGAAAGGAACCCGTCCAAAACACGAGCAAAGAGCAAAACGCCTACGAGGTGAAACAATCCTGTTCCACTTTCCACATGCGCCTATCCCGTCCAAGCGTTGCCCCTGGCGCACTGGGCGAGCGCGTCTCGCGGCTCTCAAAACGTACCCAAGTCGACCGCGTCGAGGCGCCCGGGCAGAGTGCGCCATGCTACGTTCAGGACCATCTTGGCCTCGTGTGCCGCGCGGCCCTAGACCGCGTGGAAATTGCCACCGTGCCCCAGCGAATCAAGCACGGCACCCTGCTCGGACTTCAGGATGGCGGCCAGGCGGGCGCGCGCGCTCGCGACGGCGCTGCTCCATGCGGGGGCAGGAGCGTCAACGGATGCCACCATTTCCTCCAGCTGACGGCGGCATTGTAGGCATCTTTGACTGCCTCCTTGAAGGCGGCGGCGAACGATCGGAGATAAGCTGACGTCGCTCTCCGCGGTGGCATCAAGTACCTCCTGGACCGACATGTGTTTCAGCACGGTGCCCGCAGTCGGCTCGCAAGTCTTCCAGGGGTGTTTGCGCTCTGCAAATTGTCCCAGGCGTCATGGGCGAAACCGAAATGGTTCGTGGCGTGCCTGCCGCCGTTGTAATTATCGCATTCGTTGCTTACTTAGCACCACTACTGACCGGAGCTGCCGGCGGGCTTCGACGCCTCGAACAGGTCCACGCTTACGCGGGAGATGCCCAGGAAGTTCCTGAACAAGTCCGCGCGGACTTTGCCAGGCAAGCCAGCGATGGGCTCAGCGGCAGCGCGAGCGTCCGAGGAGGCACACTTGCTCCAGAAGCACAGCACGACCGCGTGAAGCAAGGCTTTGCTTTAGACAACAGCAGAATTCTATCAATCGCAAACAGCGTTCCTGTTTTCGTCGTCGTCCGCCTTGGGCTGTGAGAGCGCGACAAAACCCAACGCCAAGATCACAATCGATGCTGCCGCCATCTTCTGCGACATCCGACTTGCAAGTCCACGCTGTCAAAAAGAGATGAACTTCGTCGGCGGCGCTGCGTCTGGATATATAGTTCCGTTTTGGTTTTTTTTGTTTAAATATATATATATATATATATATATATATGTATATATAAATATAAAAAACGGATGATCTGATTTCCCGACGCAACAATGGCTATAGCCGGCGCCAGCCAATTCCGACAACACACGCAAGCCCGACGTCATCCAGAAAGCGCAATCGGGCATGCGTTACATTGATTCATACGCATATCCAGTTCAAGGCATCTGGCGACATGGATGCCGAACCGCCGCAACGGGTGGACGCCAAGGGAGACAGCGGGCAAGCGGCAGCAAGGAGGGGGGGGGGAAGGGGGGGTCAAACGATCGATCACGGTAAAAAAACCGCAATTAAGCAAGTCACCCGAGAAGTCTCGAAGCGGCGGGTGAGGGCAAACTGCGGCGGCGGGCGGGCAAGGTGCCTTGAGGTTGACCCGACCTCGCGCACTGCCGCAGGCAGAACTAATAGCGACGCGCCGACCAGGGACGATTCAGCTTACTCGCATCAGCTGAGCTGCGCGAGCGGGTGCAGGACCGCTTCCCCACGTTGGCAGCGGGGCCCCAGCTCCACGACCCAGAGCGGAATTCAAACTCATTCGACTGTCCGACTCTATTGAGCAAGAGAGCAGGGCGGGCGGCGGGCGGCGCGGACTCCATCGAACCGCAGCTCCACGAGAGAGACAGCGCCGAGAGCCCCGGGGAGAGCAGGTGGCAGCGGCCAAAGCATCCGGGGACCGAAGAGGGAGGGGCCCCAGGGCCAACAAGGGGAGGAAGGGCGGCCCGCGGACCGAGCAGAGAAAGGAGGAAGCGGGCCACAGGACCGCTTTTCGACAGAAAAAGAGCCACTAAAACTACAGGCGACTGACCACAACGGTTGCGGAGATACTGAACAGCAGCCCGAATCGCTGGATGCCTCTGCATCAGAAGACGTAAACGGCCCTCGGGGACTTGCTTGGGAGGCGCGCGACAAACAGCAGCTCGAAGACGGACGTGCGAGCGCGCGCACGCAAAACTGCCATCCAGGGCGCAAGCGACGACATCGCATTCGACATCGGGCGCACGGCCGTCGACACAAGGCAGAACAGTAAAGACAAGAGGGGCCCATAACGAAAAGAGAGAGAGAAAGAGAGATAGAGAGAGAGAGAGAGAGAGGACACCGGACATAGCGACGCTGGTGACCGCGGCCGTGGCGACGGCCAAAAAAACATGGTTTCGGATCAGCGGGAAACCTTGCAGAGCTCCAAAACCTGCGGCAACGGGCCAGCAGGGCGGCAACAGCTAAAAACATCGGAACGGAACGGCAAACCTTTCGCATCCGAACCTGAAACATCAAAGACCACGCGGCACTGTCGAGCGGGAGACGGAGCCACTGCAGCACGCTTCTGGGTGCTTCTCCGATCGTCGCCCTAGGCTTAGCATCGTCGCGCAAACATCTGGCCGACCTCGCCTGAGCCACCAGCGCTGGATCAAGGTCAATTGCGGCTGCGATCGGGGAGAAGCCAGAAACCGCATCGGCCATGTGCGAGAGAGAGACGAGTCGGCAAACCACCCAGAGACCAATCTGGCGGGACCAGGTCACTCGAGGAGCCGCGGACCTTGCAATCGGCGCATCCCATGGGAAGCGGACGAGCAAGGGGGTGGCTTACGAGAGGGAAACGCAGACGCATCAGAGGGATGACTGCCCTTCGCAAGGAAGAGCACGAGCACCTCGTGGAAGTCGGATGGGGGGGGAATCATCCGGATGAGAGACACAATGGCAGCATATAGCAGGCAACACCCCCTGAGCGCCTGCATGCTTCCAACAATTGTGCGGCAGACCATCTATGCCAGGCGCCGATGAATCCCTGATCGGCTTCGCAAGTTCTGCGACCTCTTCGCGAAGGAGGGCCCGCCCAGCGGCGCTGGCGAAGTGCGCCCCGAAGCATGCGGGCGGGCACGCGCGCAGCATGCGCACCGCCCCAGAATCGAGCCAGTTCGTTGCCGGCGCGCTGGGCCGCTGGGCACGCAACGCCTGCATCCTCTATATTGTCAGCGCTTCCAAACAACCATCTCGCATTCCACTCGACGGCGGATAAACATTTCTTCGGCGAGAGAGGGGGGGCCTGCGCCGACCTGGTCTCCCCGATAACGAATTGCGCCTCGCTGCATTGGCCCGCGCGAAGGAGCGAGGCGACGTCTTGCACGAGCCGCCCAGCCCCACGCGGGGCGCCCTCAGATGGAGACGCAGAGCTGTCGAAAGCTCAACTAGCCCATCACCTCATCCACAATCGACCGATGCTGGTCGCCGAGACCGACTTGGGCGAAGTGGCACGCGAAAGCGACTACGCGAGGCGAGTCGGATGGGAAGGCAGGCTTGGAGACGTGGTAGAGCTTCGCAACAACCGCGGATGCTGCACTCGACGCGAAGATGAATCCGTAGCTGACAGAAGGATCGATAGACCAGTCCTTCAGAGAGGGAGACGATTTCACAACTTCCTCGAGCACACCACGAACCTTACCCAAGACTGTCAAATGCGCACTCGCCTCGGCACCACGGAAAGGCTCCAAACGGAGCGTCTTTGGGACCTTCGGGGTCTGGAACTGGCAACCGTCGGGCATGTGTTTCCGAAGCGTCATCAGGGCGCGCTCTGCCGCATCAGCCGAGGGGAACGCCTGAATGACTTTCTTCGAAAAGTTCTGGGGCGTCGCATTCATGGCCTGCTTCACTTCTTCCTCAGCACACGCAGATAAAATAACACCACCAGCATCATGAAAGACCTTCCGAATGACGTCTTCCCCGAAACCAGCCACGATGGTCTTGGACGGGAAACCTGAATTTCCACCGCGGGCGGAAGGCGACACACGCAACTTCTTGAATGGGCCTTCAGAAGCCTGGGAAGACGGAGGACCGATACTAGACATGCTTCGGAGCTCCTGAATCTCAGCCTCGGTTTTAGCAAAGTTCGATTCCTGCTGCTTCATACCCTTCTGCATGGCAACGCTGGTGGAAGCAAGCTCCCTTACCGGAGCCGAAACCATGGTGATGGTTTTCATCTCAGTCACCTGAGAGGTGAACTCCCTGATCGCGGCATCGGTGGCCGGGGGAGCCATGGCCACGCAACCCCGAGCGCGAGTGATCCAAACGGGAAGGGGGGGGCCAGCAAGCAGGGCAGAGCAAGCACGCAGCTGTGCCTTCACCTCGAGCCTCCCGTCGGCCCCGAACACGGTCGAAGCGCCAAAAACCAAACGTTTCGACCTCGAGCCAAAATGGCTACGGGGCTCCAGATGATGATCATGATGGTGATGACGATGAATACGCTTATGACTATGATGACAACAGTGACAGGTAATGGTGATGATGATGATGATGATGATGATGATGATGATGATGGTGATGATGACGATGTCACCATGCTGTTGCTTCAGGATACGGTTGGCGATGGAGTTAGCGTGCAACATCGATCTCCGAAAGGCACGCTGTCCCTGCGAGGCGATCTTGCCACGAGGGCGTCTTCTGCGCGCGCCAAAAATCCCCATGCCGGGGCTTTTGCGGTGCACGCTATCCCCAAGGTGGGGAGTAGCGTTGGAATAAGCGGGCCAACAATGCCACATCGGACTCTATGTGGCAAACGCCCACCGTACGCTCCAGAACATCGGGAGCTTCTAGCGGCCCTCGCTTCTGGAGGCAGCGCGGAAAAAACCTTCGAAGTCTTTCATCATCACCATCATGATCATCACCGCCACCACTACCACAACTCGCATCATCAGCATCATCATCATCATCATCAGCAGCATCATCATCATCATCATCATCATCATCATCATCATCATCACCATCGCCATCAGTACTGCTATATACATCATCATCATCATCATCAGCAGCATCGGCATCACCATCATCATCACCACCGTCATCAGCACTGATGTATTCATCAACATCATCATCCTCATCATCAGCATCATCATCATCTCTATCACCTCTTGCTCTGCTGATGCAGTGAGGGGTGACGGTACGGAGGGACCCACTCAGGGGAGGGGGGTACATCGTTCTGGAATCGGCGATACATCGCTGACAAATCGGCGAGAAACCCCCGACAGCGAATCCGGGCTCGTATCGGCGATGAACGGGCGATCGGGAATCGATGCATCCCCCCTGAGCCTGTCCCCCTAACGTTGCCCCTTGGCTTTCGGGTCATAACTCGGCTCTCCGGCGACCATTCGGGACGATCTGGGCTCCCTCGTAACACTCTCGGCGAGGCGCAGCTGCAGGAGTGCGTCCCAACATTGGGAGACAGCATATGACCGACGAACCGGTGCGAAAATGATGGAGGTCCCCCCATCGTTGCCCCCGATCGATGAACCAGCAGAAGCCCCCGCCTCGCTATGGGGCGCGTGCAGGCGCCTGTGACGAAGAACGCTCTCAACGAAGCACTGACGCTCGGCCACCTCTTCGGCCCTCCTCCGTCCTCCTCCGCGCTCCGCCCTTTGCTCCCTCTCTGCTCCTCCCGCACTACTCTTCATCCACCCTCCCTCTCCTCCCTCCTCCGCCTCCTCCCCCTCCCTCCACGTCCATGCTCCTCCGCCTCTGCCTCCTCCTCCTCCGACGACGCCGCCGCCACCGACGACGCCGACGCCGACGCAGCCGACGACAAACGACGACGACGACGACGACGACGACGGCGACGACGGCGACGACGACGAGGGCGATGAAGAGGGCGCGCGGCGGAGGCGTCTCGAGCGTCGCGCCAGCGCGGGGGGCACCACGACGACGCACATCCGCACCTGTAGCGGGAGGCGCCAGAGGAGGGGGATGGGGAAGAGGAGGAGGATGGGAGGTAGAAGTAGAGAGGTGCAGGAGGAGGCGGGAGAAGGTGGGAGGAAAGAATCACGATGAGGAGATGGGCGGGAAGAGGGAGGATCAGGAGGGAGGGAAGAGCGAGGAAAGAGGAAAGAGGCAGAGGAGGAGGTGGACGAGGAGGCGGAGGAAGAAAAGGAAAAGGGTGACGAGAAAAGAGGAGGAGGAGGAGGAGGATATGTAGAAGGAAGGACAAGCAAAGACGCGCAAGGACGAGAGGGGGCACAGGAGGAGGACGAAGAAGAGCAAGAGGAGAGGGACGAAAAAAACGAACGGGGGAGAGGAAGGGAAGAGGGACAGGAAGAGAGGAAAAGAGAGAGAGGAGGAGGCACAGAAAAGAGAGAAAAGAAAGTCAGTGAGACAGAGAGAGGGAGATGAATAATGAGAGTCATGCTCACAACAAGCAGAAGATACTGCATGGAAGGGGCGAGAGGACAAAGCGGAGAAAAGGCAGGAGGAAGAGCCTGGTAACGCCCAGGACAGAAAGGAGGGAGAAGGATGAACGGAGATACAGGGGAAAGTGAAAGGGAATGGAGCGGGGACGGGAAGACGCGGGAGAGGGATGACGGAGGGGGAGGGGGCAGGGAAGACGGGAAAGGTGAGGGAGGGAGTGAAACGTGAGAACGGGAGTGAGGAGGCGGATGGAAAAAAAACGACGACGTCATCGACGGCGACGGCGAGGAGGACGAGAATGAGGAGGGGAGGAGGAGGAGGAGGAGGAGGAGGAGGAGACTCTGGAGACTCTGCCTGATCGCGTAGCGATATGAATATGGAAGTCCGCTGGCACCTACTGAAGTGCCTGTTGCTTCCCTACTCTCTGGATGGTCTCAGCCTGGCTGAGCGCTTTGGGCCATGCCCCCATTGCAATACGACGCAGATACTCCCGCCCCGTGGCGGTGGGTGTGTCACATGCGACGGCTAACTTCCCGATCTGTCGGGAGGCGTACACCCCGCAATGGAAACAAAACCACAATTTCAGCCCAGTGTGGAACCTTAAACGATGGGTTAAATGAGCATATCCCCCTGCCACATGTACCTGCATCCCGAGGGGGGGTCTCATATAAGTGCCATCAACATTGACAAGGTCATAACAGCTGGTGCGGAGCCATTCTGTCCTACGAGCCTGGGTGGAGGAGTTCTGACACCTACTGCACCTACTGCCCGTACTGTCTAGGGTATGTTGTGAGGCAAACACGGCACAGACTGCGGGGGCTGGCGGTTTGGCTGGAGCCTTAGGCTTCGGCCTCCTACGACGCGGGCCCTCCTGGTGTGCTATCCTGTCGGCCTCGAGAGCGTCTAAATGAGCCCTAAGGATCCTCATCCTCACCGTGAACGCCTGCTGCTCGACTCTGGCATACTGCTGACGAATGTGCTGGGGGACCCTGCACTCGCGAGCTGCTCCTGAGGCTAGCTCATCCGCGACGGTGTTGCCGTAGGCTAGTGAGCTGCTGATTTTACCTGCACAGATGTCGGTCTCGGTCATATGGGACCGAATGCAGAGGACAACCACATCTGCTTGTCGCACTCGAACAGCCTCACGGAGGCGGTACCACAGGTCGGCGTCCGCGCCCTCGGGCGCCTCCAAGTGGCCGTTGTAGTAGTTGAGGTAGACACCCTCACTGTCGGTGAAGTAGACCAGGTCGCCCGCGGTGGTGGTGACGGCCATCAGTAGGGCCATGAGTTCGCCACGGATGACGGTCTGTCGCCCTCCTGGTAGTGGTCCCCACGCAGCGCCTCTCATCTCCATGCCGTTCCTGTCCAGGTCGTGGAACACAGCGATGGCCACGCCGACGCGGCGCATGGGGACACTGGAGGTGTCGCCGCCGCCACTGCCGTCGCCGAAGACATACATGGGCTCGCCGTGGCCTTGACCGAAGCACCCTGGACCGTAGACGTCAGCGCCGTCGACCTGCCAGCACTCGTGGTTCACTGGTGGCGGTAGACGGGTCCAGCTGCGAGGAAGAAGCCCTCGCGTCCAGTAGCACTCGAACATGTGCTGCTGGGTCGTGGCCTGGGTGGTGAGGCTGTCCGTGGCCTCGTAGATCGGGCTCTCCTTCCTGCAGGGGCACTGCCATATCCGATGAAACTCCGTATCTTCTGCTTCATCGCATCGCTCGCAGCGGCCGTCGGTGTCGGCGCCCTTGACCTCGGCCTTGACGCGGGCCTTGGGCCACATGGCACCAGTGGCGATGGCCAGCATGAGTGTTGCGAGGCGCGGTCCATTCTCCATAGTCTCGAGGTAGCGTAGCAGCCGTCGGTAGGAGTGATGATCAATTCCTTCCTCCATGCCGCCGCCGCCTCGATGCTTGCTGGCTTGGTGCCAGTATCTGTCCTGAATACTGTTGTCCAGGTCGTCCAGCAGCTCCTCGGGGATGTCCACTGCGGGTATCCCTGAAAGTGCCTCTGTCTTGAACTCCCATGTGTCGGTGCCGTCCGCTAGCGCCACTGGCAACCGCCACTCGTTGGGTGCTACAGGGTCCCAGCCATTCTCGAGCAAGTAGAGCACGAGGGCGGACTGAGGCCCTCGGACGTGTCGAACACGATGCTGGACTGGCATGGCGCGAAAATTGTCGACAACCTTGCGCCACGTGAATTGGATCGTTCTCTGTAGCGGCCCAGCCTGCACCCAATGCTCCAACCACGCTTGTACGGCCTCTCGTGGGAATCGTCGAGCTGGGTCACGAGCTCATGCCTTGAGGTCGAGGAGGGTGGTCAGACACCGCCCAGGTAAGCGTGGACCGACGGCGTCGCCAAGTCGCCGTCTGAACAGCGTCAAGGATGTGCCGTACACGCCATGGAGTTGGTGGCCGTGCGCTCCCGCATCTTGCCCGCCCTGTTGGGCAAGCCTGCTTGTGACACGGTATCTCCTGGTGGCCCGCGCCAGTCGAACGATCTTCCGATGCATGAGACCGTGCCGTGCTCGCCGCTGGGTGCGGTTGGCCCGAGCGTGCCGTGTCCCCGCGCCGAGGTCCGTGCCCAGGTAGCTGGCCTGGCTCTTGTACTGGATGGGGTAGCCACGTCTTTTCATGGCTCGAGCTATGTACTTCGCGTCGTCCATCTCGGAGCAGATGATGACGCTCTTCTTGGCGATGGTGAGGCCCCTCTCGGCTAACTCCTCGCACGTGTCAGTGAGGCACCTCACCATGTCCTTCCGTATGGCTCGCCGCGAGCCCTGCATGCGCTGGGAGAGGTCGTCGATCCATATGCGGTGCGTGTGCCGCCAGTGGACCTCGGTGACCTTCTTGAGGGCCCTGAAGGTCATCACCTTGGCGAACCTGGTGCCTGACCTCAAGCCCTGCACCACTGAGCGACTGGGGAAGATGCCCAGCGCGCATGCACCGCTCTGCGTGAGGATGCGAGGCGCCATGCACTGGAGGATCTCGAGGCCCAAGACCTCGGCAGGGAAGTCAACCTCCATCGCCTCCTCCCCGAGCCGACACCAATCTATACTGTCGTAGAACTGTGCGACGTCCAGCAGACCGTGGGCCTGGGGGACCTGGACGTACGCTGCGAGCTCCTCCTGCAAGGCACGCTGGTATGCCTCGCGTAGAGCCGAATTCCCCTTGGCTGCAGCGCCCCAGTGGGCGAAACAGTCCTTGTTCCACTCCTGGACTGCATCTTCGCGGCACATGGACCACAGCCTAGCTACCTCAGGTAGAAGTCCGATGATGCGGTCGCCGCCATCCTTCTTGGCCCTCATGACTCCCAGCGTGAGCAGGAGCTGATGTGGCCACGCCTGGGTCTGCTCGGCCAGGTTGAGGATGGTGGCAAGTTCCTCCAGCGCAGCGTCTGGTAGCCGAAGAAGGTCGGTCGGCCTGAGCCGATCGGCTCCCATCGCGGTGGACGCCCGCTGCCGTCTGAGCCCACGGCGCACGTCGCCCGCCGTGAGTGGTGGCAAGCCACGTTCCTGGACGCGTCGCCGAATGGCTTCAAAGAGGTCAGCCAGGCCAGCCCTGTCGGGGGCTCTCGGCGCCCACAGCGACGCCCAGGAGCTGACCTTCCGATCTATCAAGTCGCGCGGGTGGACGATGGTGCCCTGCTCGGTGGGAACGGACTCTGCAGGCTGCGGCTGTGGCCGCAGAGATCGATGCAGCGCTCCGATGGCAGGCTCCGTGACGGCCCACTCGCGGAAGTCGTGGAGTGACTTCCTGACTGCCCGCTGTTGTGCGCGACGCGCGACAGCAGCGGCCTTGCTGGCGTAGGAGACGACCTCGATGTCGGCGGCGGTGCGGATGCGGCCGGGGATATCGACCCACTGCTCCCAGCGTGCACCGTCCCGTGGCCGAAGGTGGCCTGGTACCTGGCTGGGTACGTCGGCCGTGAGCTTGTCGATACGCGTGTAGAGCTGGTCCAGCTGCCGCTGCCCGTTGCCCCGTGCCTTGTGACGGTAGATGTTCTGAAGGATGGTGTGCAGTCTGGTCCACCACGAGCTGCTGAGATCTCGGAGTGCTGCACACCTCTTACTCTGCTGTTCACGAACTGGAACCACTCTGAACTCGGGACCTGCAGCGCGCGATCCGCCGAGGAAGACCTGGCTATGGCGTGCGTGGACGGTGGCCTCAACAGTGGCCGCCCAGGAGCCGTAGAGCTGCCCGAGCTGGCACGATATGTCAGGCTTGAGCGAAAAGGCAACGGACGAAGCAGCGGCAGCAGCAGGCCGAGTGGAGGGGGGGGCAGAAGACCAATCAAAAAACGGTGTTCCGTCCACAATTCACTCGGGATATCGAAGCTGGGCTGCTGGGTGCAACCTGTGCTGGCCGACTCCATCCCCTGGGATTCCGCAGGTCTGTGGGGGTTCTCACACTGGGCTGAGTGAGACGGAGCGACGTCGCTACGGGCAAGCTCGGGGGGAAGGGAAGAAGGGGGGGCCGACGGCTGGTCTTTCTCATCGCACGGCGCCTGGACTGGGTTGGCCAGCGGCTCGCGA